CGGAATCGCTTTTTTCCCCGCCCTCCCTCCCACAGCTTCCTGCCGATTTCTCGCTCCTCAGCGAGGCGGCTAATGTCCATAATTCCGTCCTCGGACCTTCTTCCGTGCTTGTTCGTCCACTAGATTCATGATAAATTTACTCAGTGACAGCACTACGGTAATACTGCTGGCCGACATCCATAATGCTTCTTATTGGCGGCGGCTAGTCGAGCGAGCGTCACGGGCGTCCTTAGCTGCTCCGCGAGTGCCGATAAAGTCGTAGCGCCGCGTCGCAGCAGCTGCACGTCGCAAGGCAACGTCGCGAGCATCGCAGGCGTCGGACTGCACGAGCGGCGGTTGGCGATGGTGGGTCAAATGGCGATCAGCATCGCCTTCCACATCGTCGACTCAGAGCTTGTGGGAGAATTGCCTTCTCCCTCCCTGCTCTTCTCCCGTGCATGTTTCAGATATCCATTATGTACCCATTTCAAGACATCTAAATTCCATTCTCTCCTCCAACCTCCTCCTTTTCCCCCTTTCCCCCAAGTCCACCCCCTTAACCCCCTTCCTCATGTCTACCCACTCTCTCCGCCCTTATGCTACATGTCACCCTCTCACAGGCTACACACGCAGGCAGCGTGTCCGAGCCCTAGCCTTCACGAACAGAAAGTAGCCAAGCAGGAGCGTCCTGCTGCGGTGTCCTGCCGAGGGTGAGGTATGGCTGGGTGGCACTAAACGCGTGGCTGGGTGGCGTTACATGCATGGCTGGCCTTCACCTTCCCGCAAATGGCATGCACACGCCAGTCCCAACCTGGACCGGTTTCCTTCCCTTGCCTTCTGTCGCAGCACTACCCGCAGCAGCACGCTAGACAGCAACAGTGTTGTGTATATAGGCAACATAGGTGCCTTTCGCCGCAGTATGACTTGCAGCAAAACGCTAGGTCTGGACTACTCATGGCAGCAGCAGCAGCAGCAGCAGCAGCAGCAGCAGCAGCAGCAGCAGCAGCAGCAGCAGCAGCAGCAGCAGCAGCAGCAGCAGCAGCAGCAGCAGCAGGTGTTTCAGGCTTTCAGTAGCGCCAGCAACGATAGGAGCGGCAGTGGCAGCAGGGGCGGCGACGACGACAGCCTGTCGCTGCCAGGGGTGAAGCGCATCGCGGCTGTGGCGTCCGCGGAAGGCAAGTCCACCACTGCCGGTGCGCCTTATCGCCTCACCGCCATGCCCCATGGGCAGCACTGGTGGGAGTATCTATACTCCCCACATAGCAGCACCAGGGCTTTCAGCAGCGCCATCAACAATAGAAGCGGCAGTAACATAACAGCAGGGGCGGCGGCAACGACAGCCTGTTGCTGACGGGGGTGAAATACATTGTGGGTGTGGCGTCCTCGAAAGGCGGTGTCAGCAAGTCCACCACTGCCGGTGAGCCTCACTGCCTCACCGCCTCACCGCCATGCCCCTTGCCGCTTCCTCTCTGCACACACATCATATCCCACCTCACCTGCCTATCCCCTTCCCCACCCCCCTCCCGCTCCCCCTCCTTACTCACCTTCCCTTCCTTTAACCCATCCCCCTCCCCATCCCCCTTCCCTTCCCCCTCCCCATCCCCCTTCCATTCACTGCATGTCTATGGGTTCGCATATGCGCTCTACTCACCCCTGCCTCCTTCCATTCACGTACCACTCACCCCATCCCTATCACCCCGTTCCTCTCCTACAGTACCTCTCACCCCCCCCCTCCCCCCCCCCCCCCCCCCCCCCCCCTCCCTCCCTCCTCTCTCCCACCCCCCCTCTTCACCCCCTGCTTGAATCGCCCTTCCCCAACACGCCCATGCTGCTGCTGCAGGCGCACGGCATGCTCTGCATGTCCGCTCACGCGGGCAGGGAGTGTGGGCTTCCTCATGCCTGCCTGCTGACATGGCAGCCGTATGGCGTGGGCCCATGGTGATGGCAGCGATGGAGAAGCTTGTAAGGGGGACGGAGTGGAGTGGGGTTGGCTGGACGTGTTGGCGGTGGACGTGCCGCCTGCCACAGGCGACATGCATGCAGCTAAGCTTGAGCCAGTGGGTCCAGTTTTCAGGTGCGTGGTAGACAAGGTGGAAAATTGCGCTAAGCGAAATTTTCGAACCGAAAGTTTCGATCGAAAATTTCGACCGTTTTTTTAATATTTCGGCGAAATTTTAATATACCAAAAAAGAAAGAAAGGAATTTTTCTAAATTTACCTGTAGGCGAAATGCCATATCCGCCCTTAATTTTATGGCGAAATGCTAGACCCGCCCTATATTGGATGGCAAAATGCCGGATCCGCCCTAAATCTGATGGCGAAATGCCAGATCTGCCGTAGATTTTACGGCGAAATGCCTGATCTGCCTAGATCTAGCAGCGAAATGCCACTAAAATATCCACCCATAGAATATTATAATTTTACACACGTTTTTCTAAAAAATTTCCTGAAAAATTCGGGCGAAATTTTCCACCAATTTGTTTTTGGAAAGGGGGACCGAAATTATCGGAAAATACGTTCGAAAATTTCGATAGCGAAATTTTCGCCCAAAAAATGAAAAATTCGGCGAAATTTTGCACCCTGGTGGTAGATGGATTGCATGGGTTGGGATGTGATGGGATGGGATGGGATGGGATGGATTGAGATGGGACGTGATGGAAGGAGATGGGACGTGATGGGATGGGATGTGCAGCTGGGGAGATGCAGGTACTAGACGCTACACTGCTGCTGCTACTCTGACCCGCTGGTCAGTCCTGTTGCATGGTGTTTTTTATCTTAAATGTTCCTCAGAAAGATGGGATGACGCCAAATGTGAGTTCTTGGCAGAAGTGGGATCATGGCATCTGCAGGGTATCTTTACGTTTCTGGGACATATATGTTCCCAGAGAGGTATGTTTATGGGTTTTGAGGCGGACGTTTGTGTTTACTTCCTGCCCTGCAACTTCTACTTCCGGTCCATTGCAGCTACTCTAGTCATTCCAATCCAGGCCATTTTTCCCCTCCACCCACTCCGTCCCCCCTCACCCCCCCGCCCTCTTGTCACCTTTACTTGCCTTGGACCCCCATTTCCTCACCCTCTTATGGCTTCCCTCCCCCTCATGCCATGTGCACATGCACGGACAGCCACTGCCATGCCATGCCACCTCGCCCCTCCTCACCACACCTATGTGTCCGCCTCCCTCTCCCCACCTCCTCCCCATCTGCCTCTTGCAGTACATCCGCTATTCGCCAATCACCCATGCAACATCTTGTTACACTTGTTAGCCTACCGCTCCCCATTCTCTCTTTCCTTCCCACCTTGTGCCCTTCCCCCATTTCCACTTCCCCCCTTTCCTTTTCTCCTCTGTTCTCCATTTCCCTCCCTTTCCTCAGTCCCCGCCTTCCCTCATTCCCCCTTTTCCCGTTTTTCTCGACCCCCCTTCCTACCTGCATGCCCATAGGGTGCCCCTTGTGCCGTCCATCCGCAGTCTGCTCGGTTGATCTCAGTTCCTCTGCCGGAGCTGCTGCTGCTGCGGCTGGTGGTGCAAGCGGGAGAGAAGGCGGGGCCATGGACAGTGGGGCAGCAGTAGACGGCACGGCAGAAGGTAAGATGGCAGACGGTAGGATGGAAATCTGGTAGGGTCGAATTTGGCGCTGCGTGCGCTGTTGGAGAGAAGAGAGTGAGGATCACTTGGCCAGCCGTCTCACCCGTTCCCCTTATCTTTCCCGTTCCCTGTTTCCTTCCACTTCCCTTCCCATCCATGCACACCCTGCCCGCCACCTCTCACTTCCATGCGCTATGGCCCCAGGCCTCATACCATTCCACCATGCTCCTTCGCCTCTCCCCTCTCCCCTCTCCCCCTTCTCTTCTTCCCTCTCCCCTCTCCGACCTCTCACCTTCCCTCTCCCCTCTCCCTTCTTCCCTCTCCCGTCTACCCTCTCCTTTGTCCCCTCTCCCCCTTCCACACTCACACAGCGTGATTCTGAGCTGCATCATGGGGGCTACACAGTGGGAGAAAGGGCTGTGGTGGGAGTGGGAGGGCAGTGCAGCAGAGAGCTATGCATGGCAGCAAGGGTGCGGTACGAGGTGGTTAAGTAGGACTTGCTGATAGCTCTCGCTGCTTACATCCAGTGACGCACACACCATTCCCGCCTGTCAGGTGCATTTCCAAATGGAGGCTCGGACTCCATGCTCCACATGCGTGCCATGGTAGGAATCGTCTTGACATCTTGTTTGCACCTAAGCGCCTGCTCCTTCATTCTCACCCTGCATCAAGTTTCACCGTCTTGTACCCATCCATCACACTCACGCCTCAACCTTTTCTCAAAGCCTCACCGTTTGCTCAATACACATTTTTTACCTCTGCTCACTCTCAACTGCTGACACTCAGGTAGGGGCAGGCTATGTCAATCCTCGTATCCGTCTGTCTCTTCTCTGAATATGTTTGTCTTCCCGTCCCTCCCATGTGCGGATAGGCAGGTGGGGGCAGGCGATGGTCTGCTGGCCTGCAAGCTGCAGCAGTCCTTACAGGAGGAGGGCCTAATCAGGCCAATAATGAAAAGTGGAAGGCAATGGAGGGAGATGGGGATGGGTGGTAGCAAGTGGTGTGTGATTGGATCAGCCAGTGGCAGATTGGGCGCACTGACTGGAGCTGCACCCACCAAAGGTGGTGCAGTGCGGTGCGGTGCACTGCGATACAATGCAGTGCAGAACAGGGTTCAGGGTGCACATCACCGAAGGGCGCCGGAGGGTGATCATTGGATTGATCTCCGCACCAAATTTGGGATCTCTCCCTACTCAGTATCTCAATTTCGGCGTTTTTCTCAATTTCGTACACACACTCATGGCTTCCTCACAATCAAAACTCCCCTTCATAAGTACCCGTATTGAAGACACCCCCTGTCTTCAACTCGACACTGTTTTATCATCAGAGGTGTCCAGTACCTAACCCACAGCAAGGGTAGCTCCTCCGAGACGTATGGAGTGTGCAGGCAGTGTTAGTGCAGAACGATATTCCAACCGAGCTGAAAACGTTATGTCATTCAAAAATACATGAGCTCTGTTCCTACAAAAGCATGGGGCAGAACAGTGGAAATCCAGCCTTGAATGCGCTCATCATTCGTTGCCACTTGTTGCAGGTGGATGAGGTTCCACAGGCACTGCACACCAGCTGCAGTCACCTCAGCATCCCACAACCCCAGCTTCTCCAGCTGAGCCATTCCCCTCACGTGCTTCATGCCACAGTCACTCACACCCGGAGGCACGGAGAGGTGCCTCAGGCGGGTGAGCGCCGTCAAGTGCTGCAGCCCCTCCTCGCCCACCGCACTGCCCCTCAGCTCCAACCTCTCCACCGTTCTCAACCGTGCCACGTGCGCCATACCCGCAGCCGTCGCCCCACGGCACCCAGTGGGCGTCAACACACGCAGCTGCAGCAATCCCTCCAGGTGAGCCAGACCCACATCCGTGATGCTGGTGTGGGAGAGGTGGAGGTCCGTGAGCCTCCTCAGCCGCGCGATGCCCTCCAGCGCTGCGTCCGTGACAGCGGTGCAGGCGAGGCTGAGCCACCCCACGTGCGGGCACGCGAAGAGCTCCTGCACGCCCGCTGCAGTGAAGCCCGAGGAGCTCTCGAGGCTGATGCTCCTGAGGCAGTGCAGGTGGCGCAGCGTGGCGAGCGCGGTGTCGGAGAGCAGCGAGATGCCCGCCAGCTTCATGCCCAGCTTCTGCGGCGCCGCTGCCACCCACACCGCCATCAGCGCCTGCATCGGGAGCAAGGTGGCGCACGGCAGAAGGGCGGAAGAAGGGGGCAGCGCGGAGCAAGGGGGGCGGAAGAAGGGGGCAGGGCGGAAGAAGGGGGCAGGGCAGAAGAAGCGGGCAGGGCGGAGCAAAGGGGCAGGGCAGAGCATGGGAGCAGGAGGAGCAATAGGGCAGGGCGGAGCAATGGACGCAAGGAGAGGAGCTGGGGTGAGTGAGGGGAATCATGGGAAGTGACTGGCACAACAGTCAGGTGCATGCAACATGAGTCAAGCACGAGTGATACACGTGTGCATCATGTTAGGACACACTTTCCCCACGTTCCATGCAAGCCTTCATTGGATCCCACGTCATAGATCAAATGAAGGAAACCTGCACCCATTTCCCATACAGGAAACCTGCCCATCATCCCTGCTCTCACCTCCCATATCTTCACCCCTTCATCACTCCTCTTCTCCAGGCGGCCCACTCTCGCCCTCATCTCAGCCACCACCTCCCTCAACCCACGATGCGACTCGTTCCCTGCCATCCCTGCAGCACCGCCTTCCCCCTCCCGTCCCCCGACTGGCCACTGCCCTGCTCCGCGCACCACGTTTGCCACATCAGCGCCCCCCCAGTCCGCACCCGCCATGTCGCTCGCGCTCCCTTCCTCGCGCTTCCTCCGCCTGCTCCTCCCCCACCACTCCGCCTCGCCCTGCTGTTGTTCCTCATCCTCTTCCGCCGCGCTCGCTTGAACCGCCTCCTCTTTCACCGCCATGATGCGCCTCCCATGCCACCGCCACGCGCCCTCCTCATCCGCGCCCGCCTCGCCCGCTTCCTCCTTCTCCGCCCTCGTTTCCGCCCATCCGTCCGCCTCCTGTTCCGCCTGCCGTTCCGCAGATCCGCGCCTCGTCGCATCCGACAGCGCCACCTCAGCGCTCGTCCCCCACTGTCGTCGCTGCATCGCTGCCTCGTTTAATTCGTCACGGCTAAACTCTACCCCTCCTACTCCGGCGTTCCTCTCCGTTGCGATTAGTTCGATCCTCGTCTGCTCCCCCCTTGTCGCATCAACTCTAAGCTCGCGAATCTCTCGCCGCAGCACGCTCGTCTCGTCGGCTTGCTCCCTCAGCTGCGCGCATAGTATGTCGAGACGAGCGCCCATGAGCCTCATCACGCTCTCCACCCGCTGCATCCTCGAATCGATTCCCTTCGGCCCTGACGGGTGCATCTCCACGTCCCGTGCCGCCGCCATGCGGACTGCCGATTTTGATCGTCTGGGCTGGGCAGCGATACCTTCCAATATCGATCGTCACCGTGTGAATTCTGACCAAGCGTTTTGATTTTGAAAGCGGGTATTATTATTTTCCTGCTCTTGTTCGTTCGACGTGGTACGGTCAGTTTTGTTTAAAGCCCGAGTCTAGAATGGCAAGGGTTCATAAATACTGAATTTGAAACTGGTTGGGCGAAGTGTGACGAGAGCAAAGTTCGCCTGAAACAGTTGGCGAAAGTGGAATGCCCAAAAGTGTTTCGCACTGTACGATGTTCTACTTCAAGAATCTTGAACGAGCACAAACGACAAAGCAAGCTTCGGCCCCTTGTTCCTTGGCGATCACACCACGCGATTCAAAGAAGTACAGTGTTAGGCCCGACGGCCTAAGTCCGCTAACGAATTAGCGGGGTCGACTAAGTCGAGGATGAAACGCGGCGGAAGACTTTGGCGAAAAGACTATTGGCGAAATAGGCGAAGAAGTTACTAAGTAATTGAGAAAGAGTTGGATGAGAATTGGTTGATAATGCCAAGTACAAGAGGGGTTTATATAGCATGCAAGAAACAAGGTTGGAAAGTGGATTGTGGGACCAAGAATTGGAGTGCAAGAAAAGTAGAGTGCCACGTGGCACTAGAGAATCTGAGAAGATAAGGATAAGGGTGACTTGGAATGTACTGTTCGGAATGAACAGTAAACACCCCTCTAACACTACCCCCCTCCCAAGGAGGCGACGTCCGCGGCGCCTGCAGACTGAAGGTACGCTTGGAGGCAAGCGTTGTCAGGAGACAGCGAGGACGAAGGGACCCAGCTGTCGTCGGCTGCATCGTAACCACGCCAACGAACCAAGAAGTCGATGAAAGAGACACCCCCCTGGAGACGGCGACGGTGCCTGAGGATGCGCTGGATCTGGTAGTCGGGCTCGTCGGTGTCAACAGCTACCGGCAGTGGAGTGCGATCACGGCCCGAGAAGGTGGCGTTGGGATCGGTGTAAGGACGAAGAAGGGACACGTGGAATGACGGGTGCATGCGGAAATGAGCGGGAAGGCGGAGGCGGTATGCGACTGGACCAAGTGCGCGCTCAATGACAAATGGACCAATGAAACGTGGGCGAAGCTTGCCGTCCTGTGGCAGTCGGAGGTTGCGGCTGTCCAAAAGAACACGGTCGCCAACTGCGAACGACACCTCACGACGACTGCGGTTGGTAGTGCGTGCCATGCGTGCATTTGCAAGCTCAAGGTGCTTCCTCACGTGGTCGTGAATGAAAGTGAGGTGCTTATAGAAGTTATCAGCACGTGGGACTGTGGGTGTGAGATCGACACGAGTGGGGACATTGGGGTGCTGACCGTACAGTGCGAAGAACGGTGACATGCCTGTGGCGGAGTGGTGCGTGTTGTTGTATGCGAACTCGGCCATGCTCAGCTTCTTGTCCCATGCTGCTGCGTCGTGCATCGTGATGCTGCGAAGGATCTGCTCCAGTGTCTGGTTCACACGCTCAGTCTGTCCGTCTGTCTCTGGATGGTACGCAGACGACATGGCTAAGCGAGTCCCAAACAGTGCGAAAAGCTGCTTCCAGAACTTCGAAGTGAAACGAGGGTCGCGGTCTGAGATGATGGAATCGGGAACCCCGTGCAGTCGGACTACGTTATCTACGAACAGCGTCGCGGCTTCCTCTGCTGTGACCTGGCCGTGCGTGGGGATGAAATGCGCTGCTCGAGAAAACTTATCCACTACCACGAAGATGGCGTCGTGATGTCGAGACAAGCGGTAGTCTTAGGAGCCATAGCTAGGAGAGTCCTAGCTGGGCGAGAGAGTTTAGGCGAAAGAGCGGTTGCACTAGCAAGAATGGGGATACAAATAGCAAACCCTAGAAGGGTTGTACTCGCTACAGAGCACCCCACTACAGGCTAGAGCATAATATTCTGACACACCCCCATAGCCAAAGTGGGGTGTAATCAGCAGAGCAAGCAAAGCAGTACAAGCTCAGGGTGGATCACAATGTCACCACACATTCTGAGCACAAGTTTAAGAAGCAATAGTTTAAAGTTCACAATTATGAGCAAAGCTAGTGGTAGTCACAACGGGCAAGTGAGGAGGAGGAGGGCTGGCGAGAGGAGAGTAGATGGGAGGCGACGACTGAAGCTGCAGGCACACGGGCAACAGACGGCTCTGGTGCGACACAGTGGCTACCGGGAGTGAGTGCCCCGGAGTACAGGAGTAACAGGCTCCGCGGCTAAGACGAGCAGCAGGAGCAACGGACCCACAGGCGACGGCGCAACCGGCTCTCTGAGCTACCGGGAGTGAGTGCCCCGGAGTACAGGCGCTGCGTACGACACGACGGCAACCTCCCCTCAACCTCCCCCAACAGTCCCACACCCCTCGACACACACCCTCTGCTACACCGCTAGCTCCACTCCCCCTTCACCCCCCCTTAGTACCACTCCGACGGCTCCAACAGGTCCACCCCCCTCAGCGGCAGCTGCAGCACAGGGAGACGGAGGAGGAGGAGGAGCAGGGAACGGCACACAGAAGCTGCACCCCCATACCCCCCAACCCCAAACCCTAATCCAGGAGAACGGGCAGAAGGAGGGGTGGGGCGCCTTCAGAAGCACGGGGGACAGCGGGGAGGACAGGGGCAGCGAAGAACGGGCCGCCCACGGGTCTGGCACAGCCTCCCGAACCGCGCGCAGGCGGCCCGAGGCGCGCGCGGGCCAGGCGCAGCCCGTACGGGCCGCGCGCGTGCCTGGCGCAGCCCGTACGGGCCACGCGGGGGCCTGGCGCAGCCCGTACGGGCCGCGCGCGGGCCTGGCGCAGCCCGTACGGGCCGCGCGCAGGCCTGGCGCAGCCCGTACGGGCCGCGCGCCGGGTGTACGGGCCGCGCGCAGGCCACGACGGGCGACGGGGGGCGACGCGCGGGTCCCCGTCGCCCGTCGCAGCGCCTCCCGGGGGCGACGTGCCGAGTGACGGGGCAGGAACCCGTCGCGCGCCTCGGGGCACACGGCGGGCAGAGAACCGCCGCGCGCCTCGGGGCGCACGGCGGGCTGAAAACCGCCGCGCGCCTCGGGGCGCACGGCGGGCTGAAAACCCTAGTTTCGACGCCGCGCACCACGGGGCGCGCGGCGGACAGGGAGTAGCAGTAGCAGCGGAAGCAGTGAAGTGGGCCCACAGGCCACGAACGTTAAGCTCTGATACCATGTCGAGACAAGCGGTAGTCTTAGGAGCCATAGCTAGGAGAGTCCTAGCTAGGCGAGAGAGTTTAGGCGAAAGAGCGGTTGCACTAGCAAGAATGGGGATACAAATAGCAAACCCTAGAAGGGTTGTACTCGCTACAGAGCACCCCACTACAGGCTAGAGCATAATATTCTGACACGTGACCCCTAACTGTGCGCGGTAAAGCCATGATGAAATCCATGGTAACTACCTGCCAAGGGCGGTCGGGCGGTGGAATCGGCTGCAAAAGTCCTGCCTTGCGCTGTCGCGAGGACTTCGTACGCTGACACGTGTCGCACGAGCGAACGTAATCCTCTACGTCTGCTGCAAGCCCTGGCCAGAAGTACGTGCGACTAAGCGTCTTAGCCGTCTTATCTGCTCCGAAGTGCCCTGCACTAACTACGTCGTGCGCCTCTGAGAGAAGGAGCTGTCGAAGAGGGCGGTAGGCTGGAACCCAAATCCGTGCTGTACCCTTCCGTATGTAGACACTACCCTGCACCTCTGCTCCTGCGGGCGGCTGCGGTGTGAAGTCGGGATCTACTGTGTAACCGTGCTCGAAAAGTGCCGTGAGAAGTGGATGGCCGGCAGTAACTGTGAGACTAGCGAGCTGGCAGCTAGGGCGAGTGAGCGGATCTGCTGGGTTGCGCACGCCTGGCTTGTACTCTATCCTGTAGTGAAAGCTCCCCTCCATGAACTTCATCCATCTAGCCTGGCGACGACTCAGCTGCGGCTGCGACTTGAGAAAGCGAAGCGAACAGTGGTCCGTGCGTATAACACTATCTGCCCCCTCTAGGTAGCACCTCCACACCTTATACGCATGGATGATCGCGAGCGCCTCCTTGTCGTGTATGGGATAGTTCAACTCCGCTCCCCTCAGCTTACGCGACTCGTACGCGATCGGCTGCAACCCGCGTCCCTGGTCCTGAAGAAGGACTGCACCTATGGCCTGAAGCGTCGGTCACTACAACGTACGGGCGAGTGGGATCAGGGTACGACAGTGTCGGTGAAGACGTGAGCGACTGTTTCATCTGCTCGAACGCCTGCTGCTGCGCTGGACCCCAAACGTACTCTACGCCCTTCCGAAGTAGGTCGGTGAGTGGACTAGCGATCGATGCGTAACCCTGAACGAAACGACGGTAATAGTTCGCGAAACCGAGGAAGCTCTGCAACTCCTTGACTGAGGTCGGTGCCACCCAATCCTGTACGGCTGCGATCTTCTTCGGGTCGGTCCTAACGCCACTAGCGGAAACGACGTGTCCTAGGAACTCGACCTCGGGGAGGAAGAACTCGCACTTAGACTGCTTCGCGTACAGCTTCTCCCTCCGCAAGACCTCAAAGACCTTCTGCAAGTGCTGCACGTGCTCCTCTTTCGACTTGGAAAAGATCAAGATGTCGTCTAGGTAAACTACGACGAACGAACCTAGGAACTCCGAGAGGACTGTGTTCATGAGCGTCTGAAACGTCGCTGGGGCGTTGGTCAATCGAACGGTAGAACCCTAAACTCGTACAACCCCTGCTTCGTACGAAACGCCGTCTTGTGCTGGTCCTCTGGAACTACACGAATCTGGTGGTAACCCGAACGAAGGTCGATCTTGGAGAAGACTCTAGCGCCCTGCACTGCATCTAGGAGATCCTCTACTCTCGGCACCGGGAACCTATTCTTGACGGTGGCGGCGTTCAGTGCGCGGTAATCTATGCACATCCGTAACCCTCCGTCTTTCTTAGGCGCGAAAAGGATCGGTGCGGCCCAAGG